CGTCGGCGTCGGCGTCGGCGTCGGCGTCGGCGTCGTCGTCGGCGTCCGTCGGCGTCGTCGTCGGCGTCGGCGCCGACGACCGCGCCGCCGGGCGGGAAGACGCGGCCGGCGGCCGCGCCACAGAGGCAGGCTGCCAGCGGCCGCGCGGGAGGCTCGTGCGCGCGGCCGGCGGAGGCCTGCAGCGCGCGGAGGAGGGGGCGGCCCTCCGGGAGACGCCAGGGGCCCGAGGCGGGAGTTTGGGCACGGCCACCGCCTTCAAGCAGTGGCGAAGCGTCCGGGTTCGCCTATCGCCCTACCAAAAACAATGTTCCAAGAGCCTTTCGTGGTTTTCACGAGATGTTCTCAGAACCTTTCTGGCGGATCTTGTCTCGTTTTATCACATCGGGTTCATGTCCTAAGAACACTGTTTTTGTTCTTAGAGAACATTTTGGGGTTCTGAGAACATTTCGTGGTAAAACCATAGGAATGCCGGGACGGTCGGTCCCTGCTCAGCGCCTGGAGGATCAATATTACGGGGACCTCGGCAGGTGGTGGATGTGGACATGTTCGGGCCCCCGGGGGCCAAACTGTATCCATGTCCGCCGCCCGTTGCGGCACCGGGACGTCGGTTTCCCAGGCGGTGGACGCGGATGAGTCCCCGCCTCGCCAGGGGGGGTCACGCCGCAGAGCGAGGCAGTGAGCCTGGGCGGCGCAAGCAGGGAGCCGGCATGCTGCCATGCGTTAGGGGACCTCGGCCTCTTGGTGGCGACGGGCCCACATGTTCACAACACGCAGGGGAAGAGGCGCCACCCAGACCCCGACAACTAGCGTTTACTAAGCGGCCTTGGGCGTCTACTTAGCAGCCCTGCCCTATTCGATTCCTCCCTTGGGTTACGCTTAGTCAACGGCTTCGCTTGTCGGGGTGCTTATTGTGGGGGGTGGGTTTTCTGCCCTCTAAACATGAGGATGTTGCCAGCGGGTGCCCGCTTTCGTCCACCTCGTCAGCTCCTGAGCAGTCCAGTCCATGAGCTCCAGCTCCACTGCGCAGCGGAACTCTCGCGCTGCCCCGGGCGTTGTTCTGGGCCTCGTCCGCCTCTGCTCCGCGAAAGGCAGCAGCAGGTCCGTTCCCGCTGGAGGAGGAAGGAAGCACCTCCGGTGGGACACAAACGCGGTCGCGACTGGCCCACTTCCACTTGACCTCCAGATGGCTCCACAGGGTAGGCGACGTCTCTGGCACCACGACGAGCGTCGGTGGGCAAGGAGTTGCCAGTTCGCCCTCCACCTGGGTCGCAGGCGGGCCGCCAAGCCTGTCACGGGACGGCGGCTCCGATGGCGGAGGCGCATCGCTCGCCATTTGCGCCTCCCTCGCGGCTCTGGGGACCAGGAGGAGCACCGGGGACCCCAGGAGGAGCAGCACGGGCAACTCCAGACACATCTGAAGCGTCGTGGCGCAGCGGCCGAGGGAGGTTGCGCTCGAAGTGGCAGGCGAGGTGGCGCACGATGCGGCGACGGCCCGCGAAGCTGCAGGTCAAGCCGTCCAGCAGGCACAGCAACGGCAGCAGAAACTGGTCCCACGAGGCCTTCCCGAACGACACGGGGGATCCCGGGGCGGCTCACGAAGATGAGGCAGGACGCAGGCGGAAAAGCGGCGGCCGCAGCTGAGCATGGGCCGGTGGCTCGCAGCGCCGACGAAGATCAGCAGGAGCACGATGAGGTGCACGATTAGGCCTTCGGGCGACGACAGCCACATGCCTGTGCAAGGGCGGCAGCGCACGAAGACGAGGCAGGACGCAGGCGAAACGGTGGCGGCCGCAGCTGCGCATGGGCCGGCGGCCCGCAGCGCCGACGAAGGTCAGTGGGAGCACTCTGAGGTGCACGATAATGCCTTCGGGGTGACGACAGCCACATGCCTGTGCAAGGGCGGCAGCGTCGGCTAGCTTGGAGCAACAGCCTTTTCGGGTCGCGTCATGCGCGCCACGGCGGCGCTGGCGGGCCTCAGTGGACGCGGGCTCGGAGAACAACGTGGCGCACGAGCGCATCTCGGGAGGCGCGGTCGGGCCGGGACGTCCAGCTGCAGTGCGGGGAAGGGGCAGGTCGCTCGCGCAGGAAGGAGGTGGGAGGATGGAAGAGAGAGGAGGGAAGCGGGAGGAGGGGGTAGAGAGATGAGGGGCAGGGAGGGGAGGGGGGTGGTGAGTGGAGGAGCAGAGGAGTGGAGGAGCAGAGGAGGGGCTGCGGAACGGTGGAGGGGAGGAGGGAGGAGGGAGAGAGGAGGGTGGGGAGGATAGATGGGGATGGATGAATGCATACCCCCTTTTCTCCCAGCTCCTTCTGCTGCTCCTCCTTATCCTCAGTCTTTTGATCTTCCTCCCCCCTCCTCACCCTCCTCCTCTTCCTCCTCCTTGCCTCTTCCTGCTTCTGGCCTCCTCCTGTCATTGCCTCCCGACTTCCTCCCCGCTCAGGCCGATGTCCCAGCAGCGCAACCACAACGCAGGCTTTGCCAACGCGAACCACATGCAACCGTGCGCCAGCACTGCCGCCCGCTTCGAGCGCGAAGTACGGAGGCCAATGGTGGTGACGACAACGATGACGATGGTGATGGTGATGGTTGATGTGATTGTGCCGACGTCGGTTCGATGACGACTGTGCTGATGGTGGCGTTGACGATGGGCGACGATGACGGTGGTGGTGGGGATAACTGTACTGACGGTGGTGGTGATGGTACAGTGGGAACCCATGCCAAGAAACACCTTGCCTGCCTCCATTGTGCCTTGGGTTTCTTAGGTTTCGATGGTCTTACTATGGGAACCGTGACGTCCCCATGCCAAAAGTCAATGGACATCCTGGGGTCTCGGGGCAGGGTCTCTTGTGGACGATTTCTTGTTGTCGAACTCCTACTGTAATGTTCGTGACGGGACAAAGAGAAACAAGCAGGATGAGGAGGAGTGGGAGGAGGAGGAGGAGGAGGAGGAGGAGGAGGAGGAGGAGGAGGAGGAGGAGGAGGAGGAGGAGGAGGAGGAGGAGGAGGGGGAGGGAGGAGGAGAGGAGGAGGAGTGGGAGTGGGAGGAGGAGGAGAGGAGGCGGAGAGGAGGAGAGGAGGAGGAGGAGGAGGAGGAGGAGGAGGAGGAGGAGGAGGCTCCCTCCTGCAGGGCCGCCACCGCCTCCTCTGCGGGTCCCGCCCCCTCGAGAGGCCCGAAGGCCCGCCCCCGCCAAGAGGCCCCCAAAGAGGGCGAGGCGGGCGCGGACGGCGCCCCTCTCCCGCAGGGCCGCCGCCCGCGCGGCCGGCCGGCCGCCATGAGGCGCGGCGCCTCCGTGGACTGCCGCGGCGGTCCTCGGGGAGAACGTTGCGGTCGGACCGACGTCCGCCCGAAAAGTTTGACCGCTCAGGAAAAAGTCGAGCAGCGGCGAAGCGTCCTGGCGTGCCGATCGGCCCACCACACAATGTTATGATAATCTTGTGTGGCCTGCATGCAATGTTCCTAGAACATCTCTTGCTGAGACTGTCTGGTTTATACAAGTAGGGTATCTGTTCTAAAAACATTATGGTTGTTCTAAGGTGCATGTCGTGGTAGGCCTATACACATTGTTAATTTATATGTGTTCGGAAATTCCTTGATTTTTCGGGGGGGGGGGGGGTTGCAAGATCCTTTCATTTCTAATTCTTCTATTCGTGGCCTCTTCCTGGCCACTAGGGGGCCAGGAACAATTAGAAACGAGCACAATTAGAAATGAGCGCGATTAGCAATGAACGACGTGTACCCTCGTGCTCTTCGTGCTTGCTGGACGTCCCTGGTGCACCCCGGAGGAGGGTGCCCTTGGAGGCTCTCCGCTCTGGCCGGGCGGAGGGTCTCGTGCTTGCTCCTGAGGGGCTTTCTTCTGGCCGAGGTCCGCCTCTGTGTGTGTGTGTGTGTGTGTGTGTGTGGGGCATGCGGTGTGGAACTCCTGGATCGCATGTCGCTCCGCCTGCCCCTCTCCTCCTGTCATTATACATACAGGAGGGACAGGAGGAGGAGGAGGAGGAGGAGGAGGAGGAGGAGGAGGAGGAGGAGGAGGAGGAGGAGGAGGAGGAGGAGCCCACCACCGGCTTCGGCGCGACGCGCTCTGCCGCCTCGCGGCAACCCGGGCGTCCACGCCCCCCGAGCGAGCCCGTCTGGGCCTTCTCCGCCCCGCAATGGGCGGAGCGACGCGCCGTCCGCTTTGCGAGGCAGAGCGTGTCTGTCGGCCGAGGCCGCCGCGGCGATGCGCGGAGCAGAGGTTCCCGACCGCAGGCTTGCAGGGATGTTTTCAGTGCGTGGCCTGCGCGCGCGCGGGAGGGATGCTGCTGCCAAGTCAGCGCGCCTGTTGTCTTTGATCCCACGTCTTCCAGCGCGCGGGGATCGTCTTTTGGATCTCATTGCTCATCGCATGGTCGCCATCTTTTTACTGACCGACAGTGCGCGACCATGTCGCCACACCGTCTGCGCATGGGCGCATCTTGACCAGTGCTTGCCCATGTAAACAAAACAACTATGTATTCGGGCGCGAGCGCGCGCGAGATGCCATCTCCCTACTCTACGACCCATAGGATCATTAATCTAATAATCCAATGCATTAGAAGTGTCCCTGTAAGTCGGACCTGCCCCTTTGCAGGAGGAAGATTCAAACACAGTCCAACGAGTAGTCCAGAGATTCTTTTTTGCCTACGCTTGAGCCTTTGTGTGGAGTTCTTTTTTATGTAATTTTTCGCTCAAGATCCCCCTGCAGGGGGACAGGCCCGACCAAATCGTAGGCTCACGGGGGGGTTCCCCATCGAGACTTCCACTCGCTCCTGCCTTTGCCGATATAGCGGCCCGATGGGGCGCCCCCCGCCCAGGAAAACGCGTGCGGCACCCGCTGTGTTGTTGGCCCACCGCCGACATCTCTCGGCGATGCATCGCCGCTTCCGGCTCGATGTCTCCCCCCCCCACCCCCCCGAGCCGCTTCCAGCTCGATGCCCCCTCCCACCCCAACTGATACGGATCCAGGATGCCGCTACTCCCCGGATATATCCAGGGTGCGTTCTGACCGGAATCTCGAGGCGAATGCAGGGGTGGCGGCGAGGGCCTCCCACGAGGCCCAGAAAAGGGGAAAGCTGGGGACCAGGGCAGCTGTACGGGTACCTCTTTCTCCTCCGAGCAATTGTCTGCGAGCGCCACGCCATCGCCCTTGCTCGATGTCGCCGCGATGCATCGCCGCTTCCAGCTCGATGTCCCCTGTTGGTTCTTTGGTCATCGCTCGGGGCTCCGAGAGCCGCAGAAGCCTCAAGCTCTGAACTTCGACCCCACCCCCTAACCTTTGCCCCATCCGTCGAGTGCGGGATCGGCTGCCGAATTGATTTGCCCCGAACGTGGCTTGCTCTTCGAGAGTACCACCACATGCACATGTTGCTGGTAACTTTACGAACGCTGTACGCTTCTCACGTAGTTCCGACGAACAAATCAAGTTCGGGTTCATAAATTCTGCAGTCGATCCCGAAATAATGGACGAGAGAGGATCAGACGGATGTTTTTCTGCCTCAGAAGAATAACGTTTGCGTGCTAGGCACCAGCTTTAGGGCCTGTCCAGCTTCCTCTGAGTCGAAACTATTAACTGCGAGAACCACGATGGAGAACTGGCAGGGGCAAACATTCAGGGAACCCCACATGGCGCGTTCCAACGCAACGTTTGGGGACCGACGTGGGCCACACAGTTCTGAGTCCAACGCGAGAAAATCAAGCTTTGGTATGGGATCGAGCCTGGGATCGGCTGCACCAGTGACCTGCCCCTGAGTTCCTGTGCTCGCCGAGCGTACCACCGGATACGACCAGGCTGCGCATGCTACGCAGACCCGACGAACAAATCGACCCTTAGGGGTACGTCAACTCTGCGGGCGGCCGAAGGATTGCAAAAAACCCCAGGATTGCAACAACAAAAAAAACACCCTTCGTTCTACTCGAATCAGGTCCTTCGTTCTACTCGAACCAGGTCCTCCTACTGCAAAAAAACCAGGTTTTTTTTGCAATCCTTCGTTCTGCTCGAATCAGGTCCTTCGTTCTACTCGAATCAGGTCCTTCTACGGCAAAAAAAACACAGTTTTTGTTTCGCAATCCTTCGTTCTACTCGAATCAGGTCCTTCGTTCTACTCGAATCAGGTCCTTCTACTGCAAAAAAACAGGTTTTTTTTTGCAATCCTTCTCCCTACTCGAATCAGGTCCTGGCGCGCGGCCCGCCCGCGCCGCCGCCGCAGCGGCGAGCTGCGCGCCGCGGGCGCGCCCCCGGCGGCTGGTGGGCGAGGGCGTCGCGAGCCTCGGCCTCCACGGGGTGCCGCCCCGCCAGGCCGACGGCCGCCCGGAAGCTCACGAGAAGGAACACACAGACACAATTCATCAGAGCCCCGAATCATCAGGGGTAACTCGGGTCAGGGATAACTCGGGTTCGTTTTTCGGGAGTCCGAACCCGAGTTACCCCGGACCCGAGTTACCCCGGATAACTCGGGCGTCCAGAGCCCCGAATCATCAGGGGTAACTCGGGTCAGGGGTAACTCGGGTTCCTTTTTCGGGAATCCAAGCCCGAGTTACCCCGGACCCGAGTTACCCCGGATAACTCGGGCGCCCAAATTAATCCTCGATTCCCCAGAAAAGATGGGAAAATATGGGAAGTGGGCGGGAAGACAGAAGCCCAGAACATATGGGACAATCTGGTGAGTCTTTTTATGTGTGTATCTATTTGTGTGTCCTGGGGCCCCTTCATCTGCGTCGGCGGGAGGCCGCGGGAGGCCAGCGGGAGGCGGCGGAAGTAAAACGAATCGACTACACGTAAGAGTGACCCTTCGCTGGAGCCACCCCTCGCTGGAGTCGACGGTGCATCGCCGAGGTATCGGCGACGCGGCGCGATCCTCCGACCCCATCTGCTCGGACCCCATCTGGGAGGCCTCTCGTGACGACCCTGGCGTTGGTTTTTGACACCGCGTGGATCGTTCAGCCTCGAACGATCCTTCGCCGGAGTGACTTTTTTGGTGCGGGCCCACCGGAGCCCCCCGACCGCCGAGCACGGTAGCGTAGCGTCTTGCGCGCTTCTGGAGGTGCCCCCTCCCCCCCCCCCCCACGCGGCCCCCCGAAGCCGTGCACCGAATAGATCGGGCTTGTCCCTCTACAGAAGGAATATTCAGAAATAGTCAAAAGTAGTCTGAGGACGATTTTGGGAGTCGTATTTTTTGACTATTTTTGGGTATTTCTTAACTATTTTTCATGTTTCGTCCAAAAACCGCCTGTAGGGGGACACGCCCGACCTAAGCCTAGGGTCACTCTTACGTGTAGCCGTTGCAACGAGGACGCCTCGGCCGGCGAGGAAGTCGAAATCGGTCTCCCAAGAGATGGCATGGTTTCTTGGTTCAGCTTTCACCCGCCAGACATTCCTGTCTGGGCCATGAGGGCCTCTGCTTTCATCCTGGGCTCAGGGCGAGCCTGGCCAGGAGCGGTGCCGGTGCATGGCTGGCGTCGGCCGCCGCTGTTCTCTGGGCCTCCCAGA